GCTGCCCCCGCAACAACTGTGCTCCCCCGACAGCCCAGGACGAGAGCGGTGGCAGCGGTAGCAGCGAGAACGGCAGCGAGAGCGCACAGCTTTATCCAGAGTAGAGCCTTTGTTTTCCTGTTAGAAATACGGGGTAGGGACTACTAGCGCCGTCTGTCGGACAAGTTAACACCGTTTGCTTGTGAGTGCTACCGCATTATCTGTGGCAATGATTAGAATCGGAAATTGGTTTTGCCCGTTTTTTTTGCTGAAAAGACAAATGTTGAGATGTAAAATCAAAACTTTTCAATGCACAAACCAGCAATGCCTACAAGAAATATGCTAACTTTGATCACATAAAAAACGTTAAAACTAATTTTAATCAATATTTTGTTGAGGAACATTTGTTTTCTGATAAATGTCACATTTTTTACACACTGAAAAGACTTTTCTCAACTATCAAAATCACAGCAAAATAAAACTAAAAATGATTTTATGTTGTAAAAGTAAATTTTCAGTTAAGAGATCCACAATTGAGACTGTCATCATTGTCCAAGTTGGACAAGATTTGCTACAGCGAGTCAGTTGAAGCAATGGGAGTTAGAGAAGCCACTAATGAATCAGTAGAGTTAGAGCACAAAGTTAAATTTAAGCTTGAGTAGTTTGTCTTTTTAATAAATGGTAAGCTTTGATTTTACCAGATTCAGTTCAATTTCAACAGAAATTAGTCGCTTAAAAAGTTCATTTATGTCTAGTGTGTTATTGGAGAAAAATGATGTAGTGAGATGTTTGTTAACAGTGTTTTTTGGTGCCTCAGAAAGTATAAAACCACCTTTGCCACTACAAAACAACAATTCACAGTAGTCCTCTGTTTATGTAAAAATGTAGAATAGAGATGATCAGTGAGAATGCAGCTAATTTTTGCATTAATGGCTGGAAATCCATTTGATTTGTGTTTGTCATGTGCCGAATTGAATACAACACTAAATGTTTTTCACTAGATAGTCGTTAAGATAAAACTTAGTAAAAAAAATTTAAATTTGAACTGAAAAAGCACATTAAAATGTAGAGCTGTTGGAGTTGTGCATGTAAATCTTATGTGCAAGCAAACTCCTGTGCATAGGCAATTTTGGAGTTAATCATCAAAAGCTGGAACGGTTTATTGCAAAAAATAGTAATGATAAAAAAAATAAACAAACTTTGATCAAGTAAAAACAGGCAAAACCAATTTTTAATTTGAATCATTGAATCATAGAACAGTTATTGCAGAAACATTCAAAAGAAGTGCGGTTTCAACCCGCTCTGCAGATGGCGCCAGTAGTCCCTACCCCGTATTTCTAACAGGAAAGCAAAGGCTCTAATCCAGAGCTGCAGCTGCTGAGATAGCGATACGCGCCTGCGCACAACTGACAAAGCGGCGCAATATCANGTTCCAAACTTTTTGAGTTTTCTGGTAAACCATAAGGTTTTGAGAAACACCAAATTCGACACAGACTAATTAAGGGGCGATGAATCCAATGGTGTAANTGATCAACTCGAGTTTGGTACCATTAGAAAGATGCCATTTATCTCGTTGCACTGGTGAAAACCGTTTTTCAATATCTTTAAAGGTGTATTTTCTAGAGCAAAAAGAGTCAGTGCGGAGGGAGAAAAATCATTTTTTTAGGGATAGCAGGATACTAGTAAAGAAATAGATCATTTTTTGCCATCAATAAAACACTTTTTGAAAATACTTATTTTTAGCATAGAAAACTATGAAGTTTTTACTTTTTGCCTGTTTTCTGGCAAGTGCTGTTTTTGCTAAACCCCCATCGGTTCAGCAAGGAATCCAAAGTAACACCAAATCTATAAATGCCTTTATTGTTGGAGGAGAGGCGGCAGTAGACGGTGATGCACCTCATCAGATTTCTTTTGAAATAAAAGGTTTAAGTTTTTGTGGTAAGTTATTGTAGTTTTGCGCTTTTTCACAAAAAAATCATTTATTTATTTTAGGTGGCTCTATTATCTCTGAAAGATGGATTCTTACTGCTGCACACTGCATCAACAAGTAAATAGAAATTTTTTTTAAAAATTTTGATTATGTAAAGTTTATATAATTTTTTTTCAGTGACGACCTGAACAATCCAGGCCGACTTAGCATTCGCTATAACACATTGAAAAAAGACTCCGGCGAGGTGATCAAAGTAAAAAGCTTGATAGTGCACGAGCAGTACTCAAATACGACGGGTGACAATGACATTGCCCTCATTGAGACGGCCACGCCGATGACGCTTGGTCAGAAAAATGCCGCTGCTGCAAAACTGCCGGCCAAAGGCAATGATCCACAGGATGGAGACATCTTTATTTCCGGTTGGGGCAAACTGCACATTGATGACACGACGACTCCTGTTGATTTGCAGAAGGTCACTGTGCCTGTCATCAAACGAAGTGTTTGCGCAGAAAACTGGAAAGAATTTAATGTTACCATCACCGAAAACATGTTTTGCGCTGTAAAGATGAGCACCGGAAGCGTCGATAGTTGTGATGGTAAAAGATAAAAGCTAATTTGAAAAACCTAAAACTCATTTGTTTTGTTTTGAAATCATCAGGTGAAAGCGGTGGCGGCGCCATTCAGGGAGGTGAGCTAGTTGGCGTTATTAACATTGGTCTTTGCGGAGCTCTC